ATAAATAGCATTATTCTAAAAAACATTATATCATCTCAAACTGTACTCGAGAACACGAAAATTGAACATCCATTGGATTTTTACCAAATAATATTTGATGATTAATAAAAACAGCACCAAGTCCATCAACTTAAATATTTTAAGAATAAATTTTGAGGGACTTACAATAGTAGTAATAACAAAAAGTTTAAATAGAGTATGTGTCAATATTTCAAATAGTAATTGTAGTGATATTGTCAATAATCGTCAATGCACTTACGTTAGTGATTGTTGACGATTACATTATTGTCAATTATAATGTCAACAATCTTGACTATGCTTCGCTTGCTAATCACTCACAAAGAAGCTGTGATTGTAAATTTATTACCTTTTTTATCTTTACTAATGTGTCATTAACTTAAAACATGTGTATACACTTTTATTTATAATATTTACCGAATAAGTTTTTTTTAACTATTATTTTATTTTGGTGAAATTTTATGTTGTCGATATTAATAACATTTTATACCTAAAAACATTATTTGCTAACAGTAATTGAATTTAATTATGACATGTTTTATTTTTGAGAGGTTGAAAATTAGTTTAGCACAGTATAGAAATCGTCATAAGCTTTGTGTAATCCTTATTTGTAAATTCTAGTTTTCCATGCATTTTGGTATCTTTCATAGAGATATTGTAGGACCATATGTAAAAATTGGTATAATTCTGTTCGAGAGACGTTATTAAACATATTAGAAATGTAGATCAAATTAATTCAAGTATTGTTAACTACAAGAATTGAGGTTAAAAGTGCAAAAAGAGGGTAGATTCTGAGGCCTGGTGTCTTCACCAACTTGACTTTTCTCCACAATTTGTCAAAATCACCTTTATTGCTTTACTAGATAGAAAAAATCAGTGAATTTTTAGTTTGATCAATTAAAGTTAGGTATAATTGAGTCAAATCTAAATATGCATTTATCGTGGGAACGATAATCTAAGCACATTTTATCATTTATCCATGATACGTAATTTGTAGATCTTGACTTAAATATTGTTAGCATCATTGCCGGAGATTGTTAGATATTTAGGTTGATTTAGCTTAATTCCAGCTCTAATTATAATTACTTTAAATTTTTTCTTTTAGTCTGTTTGGGAGAGATTTTTTACTAAAAAAATTGATTTTTTAACTGTTATTTCACTATTTCAACCGTAATTTGTTACTTATTTTTTTTACAGGTGGACCTCACTTTTTTTCTAATAATAAAAAAATCAATTCACAAAATCCCTCCCAAACGGGACCTTTTATATACTTCATTGCTCCTTTGGCTCTTTCGGTAGATTTATGAGATGAAAAGCATTGACATATTAAATTTGACCTAGGAACCAAAAAACACTTGGCCCCTATTTTTGAAAAATGAAAATAGGTGGAATAGTATTTATTTTAAAAAATGAATGGTTGAAAAATAAGAAAAAAAATTTTAATTTACGTGTAATATTATTTTTATGAAAAATTGTGTGGTAAAATTAAGAAAAATAAAAATAAAATAAAAGTTAATGGAGGTCAAATGGGAGCAAAGACTAAAGAAATAGAAGAAACAAAATGAATAACAACAACTCATAATGACGGATCTACAACATCAGTCATTGACAAATGAAGAGGATCTGCTCTTTGCGGGTCAAGAATGAATCCAGCATATGTCAATCAAACCTTCTTAGGTCCAAGTCAGTCTTGGCAAGTTCGATGTCTGAAATCATTAAATTGAATTGTAATTAAGGTTGTGTTGACAGGTGTCAATTGCTTAGTGACTATTTTGTAAATGTACGTGACATTTGTTACAATTAGTCAGCCTTGAATGTGCATTACACGTTGTTCTGGAAAAAATTTATAAGTGCTATAAAAAATAATATTTGATACTAGTTTATAAGGAGGATTTGATGAGTTTCAGACGAACTAAAGAAAATAAAATTTATGATAGAAATTTAAGAGAAAAAAACTGTACTCTCAAAATTCAACTTCTAGGATTTTTTTTGTGATGATGAAATATTACAAATGAGTAACATTTTATTACTATATTTGGTATATAAGAATTAATTACTAATAAATGAATTTATACATCCATTAAAATTCCTCTATATATTAATTAATAAAAATAAATTTGTCTATAATATCTCTATATTCATGTATATCAAGATTCATCAAGTCAAGATTTATTGAATTTAGATTAATATTAATGTTAATTAATTGAGAATTAATAACACAAAATTAATACATAACATTGATTTTGTAATATTTATTATATATCAAAAGATGAAAAGTAAGGTATTATTAAAATATTAAATTGTGTAGGGTTAGAATCGTTCAAAAAAAAAATTTATCATTTGATGTGTGTTTGTGATCTCTAGTAAATACGGGTGACTTATGGTAACTATTATTAGGGAAATTATATTAATATAACAATTTTTATTTCTTGCATCACATTTTAATTGCAATTTGCTTATTATAGCATTTATATCCCTAATGATTTTTCATTTCATTCTTATCCTCAAAAATTTTCATTAGTTACCACTTTTTGCGTTTGATAACAGTTTTATGACCAAAAGTCTGTTGAAATGGTGTAAAATAACTTATTTTTGCATCATATTTAAAAAATAAATAAAACGTGCAAAAAAAATATTTTTCACCCAATTCAAAGCATGAAAATAAAATATTTTGATATAAATTATCATCAAGAACAAGACATACTAATTAATGAAAGATTTAAGATAAAAATTAGATAAAAAAGTAAAAATAAAATAAAATCGCTACAACGAACAAAGATTGAGGAACTTAACTACAATTACACAAATAAAAATTGTACTGTCAATATAACCACTCATATTATTATTAGCATTATCATTCGTGACCGTTTTGAACATGTATTTACCTCTTTTAATGTATTTGTGACATATGATAAACATGCATGGACCTATGTTAAGATAGTTGTAATCGAATCTAAAACCATTTCACCAAACTGATGATTCTAACGGGTCCATTCGAGGAAATAGGGAATCGATAGAAGAATGATTCTGCTTAGTTTTTCGATTTAAATGGAGAGAAAATAACAACCTTACTTAATTTTAGGGTGGATTATGGTGAGAGAAAATCCAACTCTACATATATATATCTCACAATATCCTTTTATGACAATAAATTTTAATCATAAATTATAAACAATTTTTTTTATTTGAATATGTAGTTAATTATGACCCGCTTTATACAATTTTTCTCAAAAAAATTTATTTGGGAAAATATATCTTAAGGGGTCGTTTGTTCCACATTTTTCCAACAAAAATACATTTTAAACATCACATCATGGATTCTACCTTAGAGTGTTGAAGTCAAATATTGTAGGCTGATTTGATGGAAAAAATGTATTATTTTCCCAAATAATGTGCACCAAACGGGGGCTAAACGATGATAGTTATGAATTATTTATTTATTATTATTATTTTTTTTTTCAAAAGAATATAGCGCGCGAACCCGACATGATCCAATCTACATTACACCCTTAAGCGGTAATAAGAAGCTGAAAGTCGTATGTTGACACATTATAGATAAGAGTTCAAGAATTATAACACAATCGCCTGATTCATTGATCCGACCTTCTAAGAGTACTTCATCCATTTAACCTGCACACGACAAATAAACATGCACTAACAAGAATAATAAATTAAAATCTAAGGTTTTTAACATAATTTCTTTTATTGCTCCGTTGGATTAAACATTATATTTATCCAAAATACATAATCAAATTAAATCTTCGTTATGTTGAAGTATATTGATTCTATTTGTATTATTACCAACATAGCCTTAATCTCTGATAAAATAAAGTGTAATGTTATTTGCAATCACTCACTGTCGTAGTCATCTTACGTGGCATATATGTGACGGTTAGTGATTAATGCATTAATGTGGCAGTTTTTTTATTGATTTATATATCAAATCACTAACCGCCACATGAATGTCACGTAGGACGATTGCAATAGTAAACGATTGCAATAAATCTTCATTATATTGAAGTATATTGATTCTATTTGTATTATTACCGACATAGCCTTAATCTCTGATAAAATAAAGAGTAATGTTATTTGCAGTCACTTACTATCATAATCATCTTACGTGGCATATATGTGATGGTTAGTGATTGATGCATTAATGTGGTAGTTTTTTATTGATTTATATATCAAATCACTAACCGCCACATGAATGTCACGTATGACGACTGCAATAGTAAACGATTGCAAATATCATTATTCTAAAATAAAAGATGGTAATAAGCTGGTATAACATAAATTTACAGCTGCAAGTTCAATAATTTTATTGCTCATTTAAGGCAATTATAGGATCAAGTGAAATCGAACAAACAAATGCACTTTGTGACTCTTTAAGGAAATAAACAACAAATTTTGTACAGAACAAATAGCCTGTCCTCCTCTTTCCTTTCCTTTCCTTTCACGTGCGATACTGCCATCATAACTCCCACAACGGCCGAGCACGTTACACCAACTATCTTTTGGTACGATATTTAACCTTTTTGATCTTATATTATATTTTTAGTATTATCAAATTCATCTTACCAAATATGTCAAAAATATTTATTGCACTAGATTGTAGCGAAATATGTTTATTTTGCTTTCTAATTGAGGATTTTAGAGAATCGGATAAGATTTATCTTCTTTTTTTTTTTTATTTTACTCCATAAACTTACTAGTTTTAACAACATGGAAACAACCGCGCTACACGGTCTGCGGGGATGACCGCAGGATGACCACGCACAAACACATGGAGAGTCGAGATTATTTGATTTGCACGGAACCCACACATCCCATGGCCATGGAGGGTGTGATCATCGGGGGTGTCATCCGTGCGGATCGAGTGTCATTATTCACATGCAGAACAATGTACTCAATAAAAAATGTTAGAGAAATTGCTAGAATGTCAATACAAAAAAAATAATAATAATAAATAAAACTCGGTGGTAACTCGCCACATATTTGCCATCTCCACTATATTCTCCGGCGCAGATGGATATGACTCGGATCAATAATTAGTAACTCAGTGCTCCCCCCATAAAAAAAAAAAAGAAGAGAAGTCAAAAGTTAAAATAATTCCCCAGCTCAATGAGTTAGCGAAAAACCCACCTCGATTCACTCAATTGAGACTGATTGAGAATGTTCAGTTAATAATTTGTCGATGTTCACGGCGAAAGCGAACTAACTCGGACGAGTCAACCCAGGTTATTAGCACGTTAATTACCAATCAGAAACTTCATGTAGAAGCGGTCGTGACTCAGCCCAAAATTCAATATTATTTCGCATTTCTGCGTGGCAGTTTCTCTGAAAATCCTCGAAACTCATAAATCGGACTATTCGAGTCCAGTCGTTCTTGCCGGACTCCGTGCGGGCCAAGTAACGGAGAATTTCTTCAAACAGTGACTCATCGCAAGGAATAGCCAGCGGGCCCGTGTTGGTGAACCCGTACTCCTCCTCGGCCAGGACCAGTAGTTTCTTGAAAAGCGGGTGGTTCAGGTACGTCGCGCGGACTACAAATCTTTTAAAACTGGTGCCGACTGTGACTGCCACGTGCCCGGCCGGCACGTCAGAAGGTATACAGCGGGAGGTAGCGGCGGCAGCCTTCTTTCTCCACCGCCGTAACATTTGGCGGAGCCGTACAATGTGGCGGATTTTGTTGCATGCAGACATTTTTATTTTTTTACGAGGAAATTTTAAGTGAATATGGTCTGGTGAGGCTGTGAGAGAGGGTGGGCTTGGGTTATATAAAGGTTGGAGGTCCGAAAGTGCCCTTCGGTTTTGCGATAATTACAATACCGACACAGTTGCTCCTGTAGATTGCTAAATTCCCGTGACTGGATAAAATGCAAACTTACGGTGGATATATATGGAAGAAAACTAAATGGTAATTAAAACTGGTTGAAATTGAATATATTGATACGATTCGAAATGGTAATTAAAACTGGTTGAAATTGAATATATTGATACGATTCGATACGAGCAGTGGGAATTATATGAAAATATCATCTTGAATAAACGGAAGGAAAGTTTCCCATCATCACCTCTTTGAAAGCCAATCGAAGATAGACATGTGTCGCATTTTAACGTTAACAATAACGTATTTTCCAATCAGAAGGAAGTAATGATTGTCTAAGTTATGGATAATACTACGTGTATACACAAGTTTACACCTCCTCACATGAAGGAGGCCCACGATTATATACACGTAGCATTATCTCTAAGTAATGGGTAATGATGATCTACACCACAAGCTACGACCTAAGTCTCATAATGGTATCAAACTCGTCAACCAACCAAATCTCTTCAAATAAGCTGGTAGCACGCAAATTGAGATCGGACGCTATAGTTTGACAACTATAGCACTTGTAATTTGCAACTAGACACTTCCTAATAAGAATTTCACTTTTCTCTGTTCCAGCAAATAAACATAGTTATTCTATAGAATCTTTCTTAAGTTGATCTACAATTGCCAAGTCGATTTTAGTCATCAACAAAGTCTTTATTCATTTTCTTTAATTAATGAATATGATTTATCCAATTTGATTGGAAAACATATGTTTGGTTACTTTTAAAATTTCCTTTTAAACCTAGGCAATCATGCTGTAAAGCATGCTATAGTTCTGGTTTTTAGAATACTTGCCCAAAAAAAGGATGACTCTAAAATAATAACTTTATTAAATGAAAAATTAAAATCTTGAGCTATAAGTCACACGAACTTACGTAAAACAATTATTTTTGGCTCATGATCGCACTTGATATGATCCCCTTACAATGTGTCGTGTTGAAGAAGGGCTAGCCACAAGGTTTCTTAGAACAATAGCAAAATAATCATACATAGTGAGTGGTTGGATTGTGGGTGTCCTTTTTAGTGCACGAAGTTGAAAATTGAAAAATCGGAACCCTCCACATTTTTCTCTAAAGTTAGCTGTCTTGACTTTTTTCATATTAAGCTCCCGTTTGATTCCCTCTATTTGACAAAAAAAAAAAAAAAAAAAAAAAAAATTTGAAAAATATTATCGTTATCTATTACATCAAGCCATCTTATTTGATTTTCTATCTCTTGTGTGGATCCCGTAAAGACTATATTTTTTATTCTCATTTTTAAAAAATGGGAATCAAATGGACCCTAAAGATGCTTTCTTTCTTCTTCAGTACATTATTAAGCTCTCATTTGATCCTCATTAAATCCAATTACATTACATTCTATTTTTCTCTCTCCTATTTTCAATCACACAATCTTCCATAAAACAATATTACACATAAATCGAAAATTTTTCTTTCTTTTTTAATCATTCATTTTTTTAAAAAATACTATTTTTCTCATTTTCATTTTCAAGTAACGAGGGTCAAACGGGGGCTAAAAGTTTACATTTTCTAATGTACAACAATTGGGGAAATGTACAACAATTTAGTATTCCCCATACCTCACCATGGACCATGTGCAAGACTGTCCCATCTTGATTTTTCTTCAAAATTACTTGGCTAGCAGCCAAAAGAGAAACCCTCACCTCCAAAACCACTAGCTAATCACCCTATGGCAAGGCTAGCAGCCAAAAGAGAAACCCTCACCCCCAGAACCACTAGCTAATCACGCTATGGCAAGGAGTACATTTTTATGACGGTTGATTTTAACCGTCAACTTCTTACGTTGATTGTAGTTGTTATAAAAGTATTTTATTACCTCCAATTCTAGATTATTATCTTGAAATCCGAATTCTTTGTATATTAAATTTTTTTTTTTTTTTTACGTTGATTGTATTCATTATAAAAATATTTTATTACCTTTCATTTGACATCAATCGACTATTATCTTGAAATTCGAGTTCCTGATAGTGCTTGTATACTAAAACTTTTTGCGTTGATTGTATTCGTTATAAAAGTATTTTGTTACCTCCAATTCTACGTCAATCGATTATTATCTTGAAATCCGAATTCCTTGTATATTAAATTTTTTTTTACGTTGATTATATTCATTATAAACATATTTTATTATCCTTCATTTTACATCAATCGACTATTCTCTTCAAATCTGAATTCCTAATAGTGCTTGTGAACCCCATTAATAGCTTGTCTTATACAGAAAAAAATAAAATGATATACTTATTTGGTTTGAGTTAGTCCTAATTATTTAAATTATGAAGTGAAATTTTAATTTCTATAGTATATATTAAGTCCTTGTTTGTTTGACATTAAACTCATATTTCTAGTGAAAAAAGTTGATGAAATGTGAGGCTAAAAAGTTATAATTTCCATTGACTTTAATCCCAATCAATTAGGGGCTAAAACTTATGTACTCCTGTTTAACAATCATTAAAATGATTATTTTTATTTATTTATTTATTTATTTTGGGAAAAAATGATTTTTGAATAATGATTTATTGGAAAGTATGTGGTTAACAAATAGGAAAATATTTTGGGTTACGTGCAAAACGTTTTATAGTGAGAATATGTGGTAGAAAATGAGTTTGAGTAAAAAATAGTTTTATTTTATAAATAATGTTATTCAACGCTATTGATTTTAATCCCTATCAATTAAGGGCTAAAACTTACATACTCTTGTTTGACAATCATTAAAATAAATTTTTTTTTTGGGGGGAAATGATTTTTGAATAATGATTTATTGGAAAGTTTGTGGTTAGAAAATAGGAAAATATTTTGAGTTTACGTGCAAAACGTTTTATAGTGAGAATGTGGTAAAAAATGAGTTTGAGTAAAAAAAAAATAGTTTTATTTTAAAAATAATGTTATTCAACACTATTGATGTCAATCACCAATTTAGGCAGCAACTGTTTTACAATAAATAATAGATTTACTTAAATGTAATGTCGCATGATTCATTTAATTAGATTTATCTAGTGTGGCTATTTAGACAGATGATCTAACACTACTAATATTAAATAACATTATTCTTATTTTAATGATTTTCAAACATATATAATCTTTGGAGGCAAATATCTACGAAACGATCGTTTAATATAAGAAAAAATCGCTTGGATTTCAAATTTTTAACAGATTTTGGTAAATGTTGATGAAATATGTGGTTCGACAATTGCGAATCCCATGAAATATTTAATTAAAATTAATTGTTGATTTTGACTTAAATTAAAATTAAAATTAAAATTTTAATCCACTCCAAACAGATCATACATACTTTATGAAACCTTTCCATCAAGTCAATGGCCAACCATCATCTCAATTTGAATTCCTGGTGGTGCTT